TTTTTTTTTTTTTTTTTTTTTTTTTGTAAAAGGATAAGGTGTAACCACTTCAAACTTGCACAGGGATTCTTAGCAGAAGTTTGTCTGTCAGCAGCGCACAGAAATATTTAGGAACTCCTGGAGTTGCCTTTTGCTCTCTAAGCAAAATCTTACAGTTACAAAAGGTGAATTTTATTTAAAAGACTATATACGGGTTAATTTTGTTTTTTAAATGAAAAATATTTAATTTTTTCATGTAAGTATTTATGTTTGTATGTACTTAGCTGTGCATGGTGTCTTGCCTAGCTACCTACAGTAAGAGTGAAAGGAGGGAGTGCAGTGTTGGTCTCCAGTGGCCTGAGATGGGTATCTCCTGTGTATCTGTAACTTCCAGGGAAACAAGTTAGCAAAAGCATGACAGTTTGGTACCAACAGAGAAGTGTGTAGCATGTCAAAAGTCCATCCATTTTATGTGTTTACTGTAGGAATACCTGAGTTAGAGATAAATTTTTGAAGGTATTACACTGTGTTTCTAACTGGCTTCCTAACTCCAGCTGTTGGATCAGCAGAGTAGCAAATCAGCTAAGGTAGAATTCCTTTGGCAGACCATGGTTCAGGTAAAACTAACCTACAAGCATATAAATTAAATGCATGTTTCTCTTGGGAGATGCTTCCCTATTCCATAGCCCAGCAATATAAACTGGCTCAGTTCAAACAATGCTGTGGGTGTTGAGGGGTCAGTTTGTTCTGTAGCTGAGGTGTATCATCAGATACTTAACATAAGGCAAAAAGAAAATGGAAGAACCTCTATACCATGGTGTTTGTGTGTTTATCCAGTTGGTTGATGCTGTGGTGCAGTGTTCAAATTCTGTCATGCATTTATGCCTTTGGATGGTTGTGCAGTTTAGATATACATGACTGGCTTGCAGTAAAAGGGAAAATTGGTACTTCCAAGTTTACCATTTTGTGCCAAGAAGATAAACCTTTTTTTTAATAACATGTTTCTGAGAACATTTTAGAAGTTACCATGATTCTAGGCATGATTTGGCTTTTTTCCTCTCGTAAGAGAGATGAGAGGTGACAAGCTTGCATGGCTGACATCCTGCACCAGATCTTTTCTTTGAGTAGAGATAGAGCTAGAAGGAATGGAGAATTCCATTTTGGCAGGGTTCTGTTATCTTGCAGGTTTGAGTCAAACACAGATGCTAGAAAGAACTTACCTGTGCTTGTGCAAGTTACAAGAGACAGAAGGGAATTCTTGTATTTACTTATTCCGATTGTCTTAAAGCACAGACTTAAAGCTTTCTAGTTTCACTGTTAGTTTTTGATAAACTCGGTGATACGTGCATGCTCAAATTACCTGTGATCAAAATTAAACATCTACTGCAGTGGAATAGCAACAGAGAAGGGGAGTAATTGCGTTTGGGCTTCATTTGGCTGTTATGTGAGGGGATTACACACAATGTTTGAACAGTCTGGGATTTTCATGGTATTTTTTCCATCTGCTTTTTGCACTTACTGTTGTTTCATAGTGGAATGTAAATTTGATAATAAACATGTATAACATGCCATTTTTCAGTATATTGCTGATATTCTGTGGTTTGTTCCAGATGTCATCTTCTCTATTACAGTGTTCTGTAACAAACCTAAAATCAGGCCTTTTTGTGGCTAAAATTTATCATGATTATACTGTACCCAGGCTTAGTAAAGTGAGTTGGTATCTGCAGAAGTGGTGGCTTTAGAAGCCAATAAATTGATTTAGACAGTACTTGAGTGTTGAGCCTCACTTTAAAGGAATCTGTTCATATTTTCTGGTATCTCGGGGGGGGGGGTTTTGTGCATGGGTGGTGCTTTGGGGTTTTTTCTTCCCCTCTTTTACAGTAACTAGTGAGTTCCTCTAGCATTACAGTGTTAGCACTGCAGCGTTGGCTAACACCACCGTGGCTGTTTTTTCATCTCAGTAGCTGATGTTATGTGAGCTCTGTAGATTTGTGACAAATAGGGGTAGAGATTGAAGCAGTTCTGTGTGCATGCCCAACACGGGAGACAATATAAAATGTTTTAAGGAGCTGGGTACTTACCTAGTGACTTTTCCTGTGCTTAAAACTAAGACTCAAAGATCAGCTAGGTAAGTGAACATAGGATAACTGGGTATCTCCAACTATGAAGCTGCACCAGAGCAACTGATTTTCACTGTTGATATTACTCTCTGTAGAGGATGCTCTGAAATCCAGGTCACAGACACATCGTGCTGAGG